CACACACACACACACACACACACACACACACACACACACACACACACACCCTTTACAAGGGGGCCTCTAGCCAAATTAAGCTCTACTACTTCAGAGAATGGTCTTTCATGGGGTTACCCAGTTCCCATCTCCAATCATATGACACTAGAAGGCCAGCATGGTGATGCTTACTCAATAAATGTTATTTCAATCCCAGGCTTTAGAGACCAGTCTAGTTCTGGCCTTGCCCAAAGGATATTATTCTAAAATAAGATAAAAGAAAGATGAGAAGTGAATGCTTTCCATCTGAGGATTCCTGAAATTCCAGGGAAGATCTATAACCATTTTGGAAATTGGAGTGATCAGTCTAGGGCAGATTCAAGGTCCCTGGTATAAAACAGGTATCTGAGGATCTCTAATTATTCCAGATTCATATTGATCATGTTGATCCAGATCTAGTCTTGGGCAGGCAGGCAATGTTACAAGGGTTGGTGGTATGAGGTTCATAACCAAGGACATTCTCTCCCATGGTAGGCATCATAGTGTCCCTAAGGCCCTGGTCAACTGCATTCTATCAGTTCAATTAAACAGACATTTGTTAAGTATTTGGCATGGACTCTGCCTGGTACTAAGTGCTGTGAAGGATACAAAAGAAGGACAGGGCCCCTTCCCTCAATGAGCTTATAGTCTTGTTGGAAAGACAAGCCCTATAACTGTACAAGGAAGCCAATAACAGATACTAGAAAGCAGATTAAGTGCCAAAATATGTGGTAGAAATGATAAATGCCATGACAAATGGAGGCATGTGATATGGGCTAAAGCATTTGAGGAAGGCTCTGGAGTTGGACCACAAAGAATGGTTAGAATTCCTATTGGTTTAGAGAAGGGATGAGGACATTCTAGGCAAGAGGAGCTGAGGTGTGACAAGGAGCATGAACCTGGTGTTGGGAACTAAGGAGAGATAACACTGAATAAGTAAAATGGGACACAATTATAGAATGCCTTGAAGGGACCGGGAGTTTGGACCAGGTCCTACAGGCAATAAACATTTTTGAACATAAGGATGATGTGATCAAAGTAGTGTTTTAAAACCAACCTAGTCTCATTGTCCAAAATATTGAAGGGATTGGAAAGGGAAGCCTGGAAAAGGAGGAGATCAGTTAGGCAACCATTAGAATATTTAGGTATGAGCTGATGGGTAGCTATCCCATGCTCATTAGCACCTTGCCTTGCTAGCTGAAGAGCTGAATAAGTTCGATTCAGTCACCATTCAACAATATTTATTGAATTCCTATGATGTGCAAGCACTGATCTTAGGACATTGGTACCAGCCTTTTGTTTGGTAATCTATTTGCTTGCCCTTGGAAATACCCAAAAGGGATCTTGGGATGACCAGGGAAGTCAAATCTCAAGGTTAGTGGGCTCCTAGCAGAGCAGAGGGGTCATGACTCTAGCAATAATGATGCTGATGCTGGTTCAGTAGGTTCCTAATGGGACTTCCTTAGAATCCTAGAGAATCAGAATTACTACTTACTGGGCAGCTACAGACAGGAGGCCCCACATCTTGCATGTGCACACCTGCAGCTACCAATGCTGTAATGGAATGGAAATGATACCAATCAGATGGCCCAAGTTCCTAGTCCCAATTCTCTCTTGACTTGTAATCCCCACTGAGCCTGAGCTTCTTGATCTATTAAATGAGGGGGATAGATGAAGTCAACTTTCAGGCCCTTTTTAGTTCTAAAATACACACACACACACAATTCAGATACACACAGAAATACACATACTCCTTATTCCCACATGTGTATACACTCACCATCCCTCATTACCTACTTTGATAGACTCATATATATACCTGTCCCCACTATTACTGGACCATGCCCTGCCTCCAACTGCTTGATTATATCCCACTTGGTAAGAATCTGGTCACCAACTACCCACCAGCTGGAAGCTGTCACCAGACAGCTCTTCCTATGTCCCAAGAGAGATCCCCTCCCCCAACCACCTGGAAATGGAAGTCTCTAATATCTGTAAAACCCCAATACTTTCCCCTTCCTTCCCCCTGCCATCCTAAAACCCTGGTTCACCTCTATCTCTTGCAATATTTGGCACCATCCCTACTACTTCTTGCCACCATCCCAAGTCTGTGTTCCTGGGTGTGTGTGTGTGTGTATGCATTCATATGGGTGTGCATGCTGCATGATCAAAGCCTGCAACATGGGACAGTTCCCTGGTTTGCATCTTTAGCTCACATCTTTAAGTTCCATTTCAACAAGGCCTTCCCCAAGGAAGGAAAAGGGAAGACAGTTGAGAGGTGATTCATTGGTGAGCACTGAAGTCTGGCTGGTTGGTTCAGGCTGTGACCAGGTGGGAACAAGAGGCATTGAGACACACTTGAGACCACTCCTCCTGGCAGTTCCTGAGGAACCTGGGGTGGCGTATGTTTACAGTCAGTCCTGGTTGCTGGGTATTAGGCAGGTGAGCCCAAGTCAGAGACTGAATCCTGAAGCCCAAATGATGCCAGGTTCTAGACCAGAGGTTCTTAAGTTGGGACCCATGAACTTGGTTTTTTTTCAACATTTCGATAACTGTGTCTCAAAATAATTGGTTTCCTTTGTAATTCTATGTATTTTATTTTATGCATTTAAAAACATTATTTTAAGAATAGACTTCCCCAGACTGCCAAAGGTGTCATGACAAAAAAAAAAAAAAAAAAGGTTAAGAACTCCCAGTCTAGATATTAGTAAGTGTTCTGCTGGGAGAAATAGATTTGAGGCACCCACACTGCAGAAAGGTACCAGCTAGCGTCAGTGGACCCCACTGTGACTGTGCCCTAACTGCCTTCTGTGCCTTGGAGAATTGGTATCTACAAGACTACCCTCTGACATATTGTTTCCCTGGACATGAGAGGGAAGGTCCAAACCCAAGCCAAGTTCCCTACAAAGAAAAAGACCAGAAGATTCTATCTTCTCTCCCAGCCACAATTCCCAGAGAACTCTTCTACTCTTACCCCCTGATACAAAAAGGGGTCTTATAAGGCAAAGACTTAATTCCCCCTGGCTGATATCCAACCATCAGGCAAAGTGTTTCTACCTTCACCTCTCTGTTTCAGGGTTTCCAGACCAGCCTTAGCTGAGTCCAGGGCCTGCCCCTGCCTCTCTAAGGCGAGGTCCTGATTCACAACCCTCTACTTTGCTCCACTCTTGGCTCTGTTCTCTTGCAGCTGCGTAGCTCCTTCAACAAAGCCTTTAGCATCAAGAAGGGTCCCAAGTCAGCTTCTTCTTACTCTGACATCGAGGAGATTGCCACACCCGATTCTTCAGCCCCATCTTCACCCAAACTGCAGCATGGCTCCACTGAAACGGCCTCACCATCTATCAAGTCCTCTAACTCCTCCTCTGTGGGCATTGACGTCACTGAGTAAGCCTCCCCCCTCAACCCAGGACTCTGTGACCTTACCTGCCTGAGCCAGGGTCCCATACTTGGAAGGTGTTTCCTTCTCACCACAGTATGTCTGAATCCCTAGTGTCCTTCAAGGCTTAGCTTGCCATCTTCTATGTGAAGCTTTGTCTGATCTCCTCCCCCAACTGCTAGTGATTTCCTTTTCCCTCAAAAAAAAAAACCACTTTGTATTTATTTTGCACATCTCTTGTGTAGGGAGGCCTAGTAGCATAAAGGATAAATTAGGAAAATCTGAGTTCAAATCCTACATGTAGCTGTTTGACCCTAGGCAGGTCACTTAAAATCTCTGTCTCCCAAGAAACTTAACTGTTACTATTATCATTATTATTATCATTATTATTATTATTATTATTCACACTAGTATAGCACCTACTCTGTACCAGGCATACTGTGCTAAGGGTTTTACAAATATTATCTCACTATATCCAATATTACCTCACTGTATCCTCACAACAACCCTGGGAGGTAAGTGTTATTACCAAAGAGAGGTTAAGTAATTTGTCCAAGGTTACATAGCTAGTAAGTGTCTAATGCTGAATTTGAACTCAGGTCTTCCTGATTTCAGGTCCAGAGTTCCCTATACCACTGAAATCATAAGTCCAGTCAACATCAATAATGATATATGTGTGTATGTGTATATACTTGTATAGATACATGTTGTCTCCTTTGAAGAAACTGTTTCATTTTTGCTTTTGTGTCTCTAGTTATCTGACACAAAGTAGGTACTTGATTAAATGTTTGTTGATTGATTGTTTTGACTGATGCTCAATGCAGGTCTCTGGAAATGCAATACTAGGAAATTACCAATAATCATTCTTCTTTAACCATCTTAGCATGGGGGTAACATAGGGATTACCTTCCTCCTTAATAGAGAACCCAATGATGCCTTGTGAATCTGGAGGTACTGGGGACACGTGTCTATATCTTAGTCCCCCCCAGAAACACCCTGAAATCTTGGTATCACTGAAGGCAGCCTTGTCTGTCTGAGACAATGCTATTCCTTACCCTAATAGGATGTTCCATGCCAACGAGGAAGAGGAGGAACCAGAAAAGAAAGAGGTATCGGAGCTGCGTTCAGAGCTGTGGGAGAAGGAGATGAAGCTCACAGACATCCGATTGGAAGCTCTCAACTCTGCCCACCAACTGGATCAGCTCCGGGAGACCATGCATAACATGCAGGTTAGCACAGGGCCAGAGAGCTGGTGGGAAAAGGGAGGAGGGTCTGGGTTTTGCTGAGCCCCAGAAGTCCCTAAGCCCACTCCTTAACTGCCTGCTCTCTCCCCAGCTGGAGGTGGACCTTCTAAAGGCAGAGAATGACCGGCTGAAGGTGGCCCCAGGTCCCTCATCTGGTTCAATCCCGGGGCAGGCCCCCGGTTCATCTGCTGCCTCATCCCCACGTCGTTCCCTGGGTCTCGCCCTGGCCCACTCCTTCAGTCCTAGCCTCACAGACACAGGTACCTGCTGGAAGATGAGGGCATTCAAGGGTGGGGAGAGGGAGACCCACATCATCTGTCCCTACTCTGTCCTGCAGGGGCAACCTGAGCGCCCCTTGAATCCATTTTCTTCTTTCCTGGGGATTGTTAAAGTTTTAGTGCTTTAAGGTTCACAAAAAACTTTACTTATATTACCTTATTTGAGCCTCACAACAACCCTGTTAGGTAGGTGCTATTTTTATCCCAATCTTACAGATGAAGAAACTGAGGCTGAGAAAATTTAAATGATTTACAAAGGTTTACTGAGCTAGTAAGGATTAACATTCAGGCTTTCCTGACTCCAAGTCCAGAAATCCACTGCATTTAGGGACATTTAGACACACTAGAAAGTTGATCAATCCAGGTTACTTGCCTATTCTGTGCCTCAGTTTTATCTTTGGGGTAACTACAAAAAATTAGGGGATTAGTTGAAATAGCTGTGGAAGACCTAGGGCAGTTAGTGTTTTCCCAGGGCTTTTATTCAGCCTTTCCCATCAACCTCCACAGACCTGTCTCCTATGGATGGCATCAGCACCTGTAGCTCAAAGGAAGAAGTAACCCTTCGAGTAGTAGTCCGAATGCCACCTCAGCACATCATCAAAGGGGTAAGGAATTGGAAGGGATGGGGGTAAGGTGCAGTGGCATTGGGAAACCAGAACAATACTCAAGTTATGTCCAAAAAACCCCCAAACAAAACCCTGGAATCTGCCTTCTCTTTAGTAGAATGTGAGCTCATCAAGGTCAGGAACTGTTTCATTTCTGTTTTTTGTATCCTCCGCATCCTTGGCACATAGTAGGAGCTTTATAAATGCTTGCTGAATGGAGATTCCTAGAGGGTTCCCAAACTAGAGCTTTCCCCTATTGTTGGGGACTCTTCTTGCCTAGCTTCCTCAGAGATCCAGACAGAATATTCACTGGCCTCTACTTTGGGCTTTCAGGACTTGAAACAGCAGGAGTTCTTCCTGGGCTCAAGCAAGGTCAGTGGTAAAATTGACTGGAAGATGCTGGATGAGGCCGTTTGCCAAGTATTCAAGGTAAGAAACCAGTAGCCTCTTCCCACTGGGTGGATCATTCACTCACGGGGTCTTGAACTGTGATATCTGTGGGTTACCTAAAAGCTTAGATGTTTTACCAAGAAGAGATGTTAGCACTTGAATGGGGACAGTAATCTCCACCTCAATCCTCCTTAATGTTGTCTCTGTCCTTTCCTCTATCTCTTTCTATTCCCTCTCTTCCTTATCTTTTGCTGTATCCACCTTTCTCTTCTGCCTACTACAGGACTACATTACTAAGATGGATCCAGCTTCTACATTGGGCTTGAGTACCGAGTCAGTCTATGGCTACAGCATCAGCCACGTGAAGCGAGTGCTAGATGCTGAACCCCCAGAGCTGCCACCATGCCGTCGGGGTGTCAATAGCATTGCTGTCTTGCTCAAAGGTCAGTCCTTTCACCAGGGGATAAGAAACATGGAATGGGAGTAGAGGCTTAACAAAAACATTAGTACTTCCCCTCTGATCACCTTCTTGGGTGATCTCTAAACATGAATCCTAAATCTACTTCTCTCAACATACAGTGAGGGATGCTTCCCAGGATCTGATACTACTCTAGGCTTCTTACCTGGGCTTTGTGGAGCTTTCCATGAAGCCTTGAGGAGAAATTACTTTAAGCTTCTCGAGAGACTTCCTGGACAAAGGCTATAGAGGCCCTTCTGGGTCCACTTCAATCCTTAGGGTTCTAACCATGGCTTCTATTTCCTGGGGTGGTGGATGTAGGTCTAAAGGAGAAGTGTGTTGACAGCCTGGTATTTGAGACACTGATCCCCAAGCCCATGATGCAACACTACATAAGCCTTCTTCTCAAGCACCGACGTCTCATTCTCTCGGGCCCCAGTGGCACAGGCAAGACCTACCTGACCAACCGGTTGGCTGAATACCTGGTGGAACGCTCAGGCCGAGAGGTCACAGAAGGCATCGTTAGCACCTTCAACATGCACCAGCAGTCTTGCAAGGTACCTGCCCCCCCAGGATACCCTATGAGTGCTGGCTCAGTTGACCAAACTCGTCCCAAATTCAGTGTTAGCCTAAATTCTCTTCCCCTAAACACTTCTCCCTTCCCCTCTCTAATCTTTCTTTATGCCTTCTTTCTACTCCCCTCATCTCTATCTTATTCTTTATCTCCTTTCCTGGGCCTCAATTTCCATATCTGCAAAATGAAGGTGTTGGACTGTGATCTATATTCCTCTTCCATTTCCCTTCCTTCTCATCCCTCCTTTCATGCCCCTTCTTCCTCACTCTATTTTCCTATTGAGAGATTTGTCCTTCCTCTACCCTATGCCTGATCTCTTCTCTCGCCATCCTTTCCATTTGATTCTCTCTTAACCCTATCCTCTGCCACAATTCCCCAAACCCTCTCTTCTTCTCCCCCTTTTCTGTCCTCCTTAGCATCATCCCTGCCCTCAGGCTTTCTTTGAAGCAACGCAGAGAGCTGAATATAGACAGTCAAGTTCTCCCTGAGCCCCTTGGATTTGGTTCAAACCTGGCTTTCTATGATAATAGCTAGGATTTATAGGGCACTTTATGGTTTTGCAAAGAACTTTGAGTTTATCTTATTTGATCTCTAGCTAGGATAGGCAGTTCCCATCAGTACTGGTTCCATAAGGCCTATGCCAATCCTTGAAATTCATCATCCATAGGACCCTAGGAAATTGTATTAATGCTGGCACCCCTAGGAGACTTGGAGGTCATTGCTTAGGAGGACAGAGAATCTATTTCTGCTTAGGAACTCTCCGGGTTCATCAAACTGATTCAGAGACACTAAAGAAACCCTTAACTAACATGGCCTTCCCAGGGTCCTTAGGACCAGGGGTGACTAATCAGCTCTTCTTAAACTATGGGTTGTGACCCCATATGGGGTCCTGACTCACAGTTTAAGAAGCACTGAAAGGGTCATGAGAGGAAAAAGTTTAAAAAGCCCTGAGTATTAGATCATGAAAAAGGACCCCAGTTCTACCCAGCATCAACCCCCAAAAAGTGGCCAGGTGAAAATCTGATCATAGGATGTGATTGAAGTTCTTTGGCTATGAAATATTTGGTTCTGGATTAGTCCTGAGGTTATCTTTTTTTATGGGACCTCATCCACTCCCTCCCTTTCCCCCCCAGGATCTGCAATTATACCTCTCCAACCTAGCAAACCAGATTGACCGGGAGACAGGCATCGGGGATGTGCCCCTGGTGATTCTACTGGATGATCTGAGTGAGGCGGGATCCCTCAGTGAACTAGTCAACGGAGCTCTAACTTGCAAATATCACAAATGGTGAGTCAAGGCCAGAAGCAAACATATGCTTATGGGAAGCTAGGTTTCCATGTCTATCAGCTTTCTTTGCATGGTATTGGTATGGCAAGAAGCAACATCTGAAACAAATTTGTTTGTTTGTCTTGTCTCCCCTCCCGTTCTCCTTTTCTCCATAGCCCCTATATCATAGGTACCACCAATCAGCCTGTGAAGATGACCCCTAATCATGGTCTGCACTTGAGCTTCAGGTAAGGATCCCACTCCTGGGCCTGGGCAGATGTTCAATGCCCTTTTCCATCTCCTAATTTCCCTCCCTGTCTCCTTTTGCCTACTACCCACCACAAAGAACTTGTACTCTAGGGTTTATAGCCAAAGAGGCTGAGGCAGCAAAAGAAAAGAAGCTAGCAGGGCAGCTAAGTGGCATAGTTCCTCAAGTCAGGAAGACTTGAGTTCAAATCTGGCCTCAGATACATAACACTTACTAGCTGTGTGACTCTGGGCAAGTCACTTAACCCCAAATGCCTCACAAAAAGAAAGAAAGAAAAGAAGCTAGCAGAACTCTTGGTGTTGGAAAAATGCAATGAAGGAATATACCCACTTCAATAGTGTCAAGAAGATCACTGAAAGAGAAGTAAACCCCTTTAGTAAGAGAAATCATGGATTAGAGCAGGGGTTAGCAAATTATGGTCTGAGGGCCAAATCCCATCCCATCACCTGTTTTTTTTACAGCCCCAGCTAAGAATGGTTTTTTACATTTTTAAATACAGTAAAACATTATTTAAAGACATAAAAGCCATTCTCAGCTCACAGAGTGTCCAAAAAGCAGGTTGGATTTGGCCCATGGCCTCTAGTTTGCCAGTCCCTGGATTGGAGGGTTAGCCCTATCATCTGGATTCTCAACTAGTTCTGGCAGGAGGACAGGCTATTAACACCGAAAGAGGATTATTTTAGTAGAATGAATTCACTTCACCAAACTTTAAAAGTCTACTATTGATGAAATGTACTATGCTAAGCCTGGGATACAAAAGTGAAAAACAGCACCACCCTTACCCTGAAGTACATTATAAGGGATTGGGAGAAGAGAAGACATACATGAATAAGTATGACACAAGGCAGACTGTGATTAGAAAGAGAGCCAGACAAGGTACACAAAGGAAAACTGTGGAAAGAAAGAGACCATTTTAGCTGGGAAAATGAGGGAAAGGCGTCATGAAACAGGCTGGCACTCAGTTAGGTCTGGAAGGAAGAAAAGCATTTCAATAGGCAAGATGTGGAAGGAGTGTGTTCTGGGCAGAGAGGTGGGAAAATGAGTAGATAGTGAGAAAACAGAAAGAGCAAGTGTAGAGACAACTCTTTCCATAGAAGTCAAAAAGAAGTAGAAATATACCTTGATAATTCAAGGGGTTAGCAGAATCAAGAAAAATTATTGTTAGGCTAGAGAGACGTGAGCATATTTGTGGGCATCTGAGAAGGAGCCAGTGGAGAAGAAGAGATTGAAGGTCCATGGGAGACCATTGATCCAAGGTTCTTGAAGGAAATGGGAAAGAAACTGGATGAAAGATAGAAAAGTTTGGTCTTATCCAGGAGCAGGGCCACCTTATTCTCTGAGACTGGAGAGAGGGAGAGAGGTGAAAGCATAGAGGGGTTTTTCAGATTCAGAGATGAGTTCATGTTGGAAGAACTAAATCTTGGTCAAGGATGCAAAGACATCTCCTGGAGGAGAATGGGGTGGGGTGGAGTGAAATTGGGGAATCAAGAAAGCTTTTAGAATTGCTGTTATAAAGTGATGGTGGAGGATCAATAGTAAATGAATGCCATATATCACAAACCTTTATTAAGCACATCTTCTATGCCAGGCACTGTATTAGCTGAAAGAGATAAAAATACAAAAGTGATACAGACACCTCCCTCCAGGTGCTCACATTTTAACAGAGGGAGTGGTGGCCAACAAAAGGGAGTTCTAGGTAGTTCAAGAGATTGTAAGTAGATCCATAGGACACTCAAGATTGCTATGACAATATGATAATCACCACCCTTTTTGTGATGATATTGATGTCCCCAGAGCAAGAGGTAGAAGGGGGAGGGGGTACACATAGGCAGGGTACATAGCTAGATGCTCCCTGCTGAATAGACCTTGGTATCCTAGAGGAAGGCTGGTTGGAATGTGTAACATAGTCTAGGTAGGAGCAGTTAGATAAAGTGGTTGGAGGTGAGCTTTCACTTGTTCACTTATGGTCAGGAGACATCAGCCCCAGAGCTACATGCCGAGCTGAATATTTGGAGGGTAGAACATCATCTCTGGTCAGTATGCTAGGTGGGCAGAAAGAGGGCATCAACAGGACAAATGAAAAGATGCCCTCTTTGGATGGGCTATTAGGTGGCTAGATGAAATAACAGCCCAAGCTGCCCATGGCCCCAGCCCTGAGTCCGAACTCTCCCATTAGTATCTGAGAAGAGACCAAGTAGGCTTTAATGGGTAGTGATCATGGGGAGAAAATGGATGGATGGGTCCTAGTCATGGCCCTCCAGTGCCATTCTCACTTTTTCTTCTCTTTCCTGGTGGTAGGATGCTGACATTTTCCAACAATGTGGAGCCAGCCAATGGCTTCCTGGTGCGTTACCTGAGGAGGAAGCTGGTAGAGTCAGACAGTGATATCAATGCCAACAAGGAAGAGCTTCTCCGAGTGCTGGACTGGGTGCCCAAGCTGTGGTATCATCTCCATACTTTCCTAGAGAAGCACAGCACTTCAGACTTCCTTATAGGTACTGGGAATCATATGCCCTCTTGGGGTTGGTAAGGCAGCTCTCTTTTTTTTTTTTTAACCTCCCTTCTATAAGAGACACTCCAGCATTTAAGCAGGTCATCAAGGCCTAGTGGCCAGGTTAAGGACCAGTCAGATATTTAACCAATATTCATCAAGCATCTAGACATCTGACCATGATCAAGTCATTTCTATCGTCTCAATGAGTCCCTAAGTTTTCCCATCTATAGAATTGGGGGGGGGGGGGGGGGGGAAGGAGGGGAGCAGGAGTTATGGGAACCTAAGGTATTTTAAGGTTTGTTAAACTCCACTAACCTCAAAAATGCAGAACATTGATAATCGTGACATCTAGTAGATAATTCCCTTTACTCACTCCTACTCTAATTCTCTTTTCCTTAGTCCTTTGGAGACCAAGCTCTCCTAGACCTGACATAGAGAGGAGTCAATCAATAAAAGGGTGCAGCAAACAGGGTGCTTGGCCACCTTCACCACAATCTAACTCCTCTTCCCTTAGGCCCATGCTTTTTCTTGTCCTGTCCAATTGGCATTGAGGACTTCCGCACTTGGTTCATTGACCTATGGAACAACTCCATCATTCCTTACCTTCAGGAAGGCGCCAAAGATGGGATCAAGGTGAGACCCCTCCCACTCTTACCCACTGGTTCCACTCCTACTTCAAGATCAGACCTTTCCAGTTGGATCGATGTGCAAATTCCTATAATGTCAGAGCATGAGACTTGAGTCCTGTGTGAAATCGTATATGAAGGGGAATTATTGGGCTGGGTGACTGAACTGCTCCCCCTACTGCTTTTGCCTGACAGTTCAATTTAATTCAAGTTAAATATTTGTCATCTACTAGAGAGCATTGTACTAGGTGTTGAGGCAGAGATAGGAAGTTTAAGCAAGTGCTTACCATGGTCACCTAATCTAATCTACATGAGTCTGAGCTGGACATAAACCACTCTCTAGGAGTGAAATAATTTTTTTGAAAAACAGTGGGTCAGGGGCAGCTAAGTGGCACAGTAGATAGAGCACTGGGCCTGGAGTCAGGAGGACCTAAGTTCAAATCTGGCCTCAGACCAGACACTTGACACTTATTAGCTGTGTGACCCTGGGCAAGTCACTTAACCCCAATTGCCTCGCCAAAAAAAAAAGAAAGAAAGAAAAGGAGAAAAACAGTGGGTCAGAAGTCAGGTGATCAGAAAGACTCAGTAGATCTGGGTTTCAGTCCCAGTTTAGTCATTAATTTGTCATGAGATAGTGGTCAAGTTTCTTAGCCTCTCTGGGTCAATTTCTTCGCCTGCAAAATGGAAATAATAATTCCTGTCCTATCTCCCTCACTGAATTGTTTTCAAGATGAAATGACATGTGGAAGCATTTGGGGGAAAAATGTTAGGCATTTGTTATTGGGTAACTATGACACTGGGTGAGCCAGTTAGCAAGACAAACCTGTTTCTAAGCTTCAGTGTCATCCTCTGTAAAACGAAGGTATTGAATTTAAGTTCTCTAAAGTCCTTTCCAGCTCTAATAGCCAGTATTTTTAGGAATCTATAAATAGTACACATTATTGGTAAGTCTGATGCATTAACATAATTTATTTTTGAGGTAGCTGTCTCCCGATGATGTGGCAAGTTGGTGATGTGGACATCACCATCACCATCATTTTTATATATTTATTTACTGTCTTATTTGATTATTTATTTCCTTAGAAAGCTCATTGCTTCTTTTTTCTTCCCAGACTTGGGCAGAAGGAAAAAGAGCCTATGGAGAAGGAAGTGGTTGAGGGGAAAGGTCTCAGGGCTCAAGTTCTGAAAGAGTTCAAGTTCTCCATGGGAACCAGCAAGAGACTTTGAAGCCACAAATCTATGTGAACAATAGTTTTGATGGTCTCACCTCTTTCCCTCCAGGTCCACGGACAGAAAGCAGCTTGGGAAGACCCAGTAGAGTGGGTCCGAGACACCTTACCTTGGCCCTCAGCCCAACAGGACCAATCAAAGCTGTATCACCTGCCTCCACCTAGTGTGGGCCCTCACAGCACAGCCTCACCCCCCGAGGAGAGAACTGTCAAGGACAGTACCCCCAGTTCTCTAGATTCAGACCCTCTGGTGAGTAAAGGACACACTAATGGGAAAATGAGAGGAACAAGTACCCATCTATAGATGGGTATAGATGCTGATGGCAGAATGAAAATATCAGAACCCTGAGCCACAGGGAGGGCAAGCTTTGAATCTTTCTTGGAAGGATAGAGTTTTTAAAGTCTCTGACAAAGCTTGGCATATACTTAGGCACTTAATAATGCCTGTTGAATTGAAATGCAATCAGACTTGACTACCACCCTCAGGAACACTCCTCTTCCAATGGGTTTTTAAGCCGTGAGCCCACTGCCACCATGCTTGTTTTTGGTCTAAGAAAGAGACAGCCAAATGACCATCCTTTTATTAATAAACATGCTGGCATTATTAATAAAATGATTAAATTACCCAGAAATTGTGTCTCTCGAATTTTTTAAATGTCAAATACCTGGTACATAGTAGGCACTTAATGCTAGTTGACTGACTTGATTGAAGAGATGGTTAGGAATCATTGCAGGTTTCTGAGTGAAGGCACCTTAAAAGGATAATTCTTCAATTTTGGAAATAGAACATATGTGACTGGGTGGGAAAGGAGGGGAGAGCTTGTGGGGGAAACAGTCACTCCCATTCTGCATTGTATTCTAGTAATTTCTGTACATGTCATATTTCCCTTATGAGATGATAGACAATGGAAGGATAGTATAGATGGAAAATCACTGGATCTTAAACTCAGGAGATCTAAGTTCAGAAGCATCAAGGTGGCACAATGGATACAGAGTGATGGAAGATCCAAGTTCAAATCCTTCCTCAGACACTTCCTAACTGTGTGACCCTGAACAAGTCATTTAACCCTATAAAATGAGGGTAATAGTAATAGCACCTACCTCCAAGGGCAGTTGTGAGGATAAAATGAGGTAATACATGTAAAGTATTTGGCAAGCCTTAAAGCAATATATAAATGTTAGCTATTATTGTTATTTTCCTGGCTCCAGTATTTATCAGCTATGTGACCCTGGGGAAGTGATTTAACCTCTTTAAGTTGATTTCCTCATTTATAAAACAGAAATAATAATACCCATGTTGCCTGTTTCAAAAGATTGTTAGGAAGAAAGCACTTTATAAACCTTAAATTACTGTAGAAATGTGGGCTATCCTTAAGCTCCTTGAGGGCAGGAACCACAATTAACTTATTTTTGTATACCACACAAAGGCCTAACCCAGCGCCTTGAACATTATAAACAATCAGTAAATTTGTAAATATTGTTTATGCAAATATTGTCTATTTATATATGTAAATATGTAAATAAAACTGAAGGGAGAAAGGCAGCTGGTGAGGAAGCATTTGGAATGCACTGCCATGTCTTAGATATGTTGGAAAGCCTCTGCCCTGGGTTCAAGACCAAGGTTCTCTACCTTCTCCCCTCCCTTCCCCCAGGTCCAGACTGTGAAAGCCTGCCACCACTTTAACCGCTCATTCTTGCCCCCTTCAGATGGCCATGCTGCTGAAACTCCAGGAAGCTGCCAACTATATCGAGTCTCCAGACAGAGAAACCATCCTGGACCCAAACCTCCAGGCCTCACTTTGAGGACCTACCTAGCCACCACTGTTGGCCCAGAGAGCAGTGAGCCGGCCTCAACTATGTCAGCTCTTCCTCCTCCTCTTCTTTCAGAGCACCCATCTACAGCCCAGAAAAGGGGACTGGAGGGAGTTGGTGGGAGGGGAGGGGCAGGCTTTCTGGTGCTGCACCTTGGAGGACTTCCTAGGATTGGTGGGGTGGGGTGAGGGGAGCTTGTTCCTCTGGATAAAAGACTGGCCTCCTCTCAAGACTTTGGGGAGAGGGGGATTCTGGGAGGTTTTTTTTTTCCCCTTGGTTTTCTGTCTCGACTACAAACTCTTGGGTTTTATGGGCAGGTGACAAGACATCAGGAGAAACCTGCAGCAGTTCCTAGCCAATTATGGACAGTTGTGTGGGAGATGGCCCTATGAGGTGAAGCCTGGGGCAGAGGGAGCAGGAGCTCCCCCAATTCTCTCCCAGCCTCTTCCCAACCCTACTGCCACTGCCAGCAGCTCTCCCCGAGAGACCTGGATGGAGCCTAGAAAAAAGAAGCATGTGGTTTAAAAAACTTTTTTTAAATAAAGGTTATAATTCTGTTGATAGAGGGTTAAAAATCAAATGGAAAAGATGAAGCTGGAGAGGGGAAACAGTTGTCAAGGTAGAGAGAGAGCTGTCCACTCCCAACCCCTTGATGACCTACAGGACGTCCTCAAGATGGCTGTCAAAACGTACCCCGCCAAGACACAGACACAACACCCCTGCATCCGGCCCTCGAGGAAGGACTGTTAGCTCTGTCTTTGTACCTTCTAATTTAATATGCATGAGGACAGCCAATAAACCCTGCCTTTTATTTTGTTTTTCTCCCACTTATCTATTTATTTTTCCTTTCCCCTCCTCCAAGACCAAGAGGTAGTTGGGTTCCTTTCCAGCTTCAGTGTAGATTTTGTGAGGACGGCTTTCTTTTGGAGGATCTGATGCTGTCCAACTGGCACCAATTAAACTTTCCTGCCATACTCTCTAGCTCTGGTCTCCTCACAGCTCATGGGGAGGCCTGGAGTGGTGGAGAAGCAAAGCTGGAGAACAAACCGAGGGGCCCAGAGAACCACCTTCCTTCTCTCAAGAAAGCACAGGCTCTCGACGAAGCTTCAGTTCTAGCCCTAGAATGCAATGAGAAGAGTCAGACTTATCTAGTTGGACACTCAGCTTTGCTCTTCACCATGGACTGGACTAAAGAAAACCCAGCCCCAGGAACTGGAAGAACAATCGTTCTCAGGTGCCTAGCCGAGGCCAAATCCCCTGGCGGTCTTTCAATTGACATCAGGCAATGAATTGTTCATCAGTAGGAGACACAGCAACCAGTTAATGCAGAAAATTCACAGAGGTGAGAGGAGGGGTAGAGAGGAAAGAAACAACATCTGTCACCTAAGGAGATCTCCCTGCTGAAGATGCCCCCTTTCTTTGCTGCTCCAGAGGTTCTGACAGGTTGAGCAACCTGGAACCAATTGTACCTCTTCACTACCTGGGCTAAGGAAACAGCTTCATATGCACCCTAGAGTCAGCAAGAAAAGCAGCCTCCAAATGGACATATAGTATATTGAGGTCAGAAGACCTAGGACCAAAGCCTGAAAGACTGTGGAATCATGGGATACTCTCTCCAGTACAAGCAAACTCATTTCCTCTCATCTTTGAAAGCCTCCAGGAGCACCAGTGCCCAAGCTTCAGTTTTCTAGCATAGCCAAAGTTTTTGGCCTTTGCACATTTACCCATTCAACAAATATTTTGCTTGCACATCAGCGCTAAACAATGGGCTTAGGTCTGGTCTTAGTGTTTACCCTTCAGGCTCCAAAGGAATAAAAGAGTTCAGCTGAGTCAGGAGGGATCCTAACCTGGACCATTCTCTCCTGCTGCCTGTCCTCCCCCACAAAAGCCAATGGTGTTCCAACCAGTCATCAGGCTTCAGCATTCAGCTCAGATGCTTCCCTGCTCCCAACAAGAGGCCCCTCTGCCCTGCCCCACCCCATATTCAGTCACACCTGTCGGCCCCCAGGGGCTCCATTGCTGAGACCCATAATTGCTATTGCTGCTGCTGCTAATTCCCTGATCTGTGAAGACACCTGACCAACACAGCTGTAATTTATGCAATTCTGTAACCGGAAGAGGCTCTTTGTCCAAGGATGGTGCTGAAATCACTGCCTTAAAGACCTCTGCTGTGCAGAGAAGGGGATGCCCTTGAGCTGGTCGTCCTGACTCAGAAGGAAAGGGGATACAAGATGGGCCTACTTCTGGCTGTATGGCCTTTTCTGAGCCCTGCCTGGAGCTTCAGCTCCAACCAAGGCCTAGCTGTCTAATGTTGCCTAGTGTTGGTGGAAGGAGCACTTAGCCCCTTCTCTTCTGGTGCTGCCTAGCCAATGCCTTCTGACCTATATTGTTACTGGCCAATTGAGAGAAAGAAGAAATGAGAAGCCTCCCTTTTTTCCCCTCCCTGATTCCAACTGCCTGACCTCCCCCAAGGGAATTCCAGTCTCCCAGGTAACCATGGATACAGCCCTGGATTTCTTTTGCCTCCCTAGCAGATAGGGTCATGAAGGCCTCTCTTGCTGTGACTTTCCATTTCTGTTCCATTCCTGGGACCTGTGCCCCACCTCTGCTCTCAGTCTCCTGCTGCATTCAGCCCAGGTCTCCTGCTGCATTCAGCCCAGGTCTCCTGCTGTCCCACCCTAGGGTGAGTGTTTCCTCTACAAGGGGAGAGATCTGACATCCTCAGACTTCTCTCAGGAGCCTGGGACCCTGTTTACAGTTGCACATCTGGGCCCCTCACTGGGAGGGATCAATCATCTTGCAGAGAAAACTCAGACATGGTGGCAGCTGCAAAAGGTTGAGCCTCCTCATGGTGCTATAACCCCCTGGGATGCTCACCCCAGACTCTGCTGAGACAGAGAGAACTTGATGTCTCCCTCACTGCCCAAGAGTACATGATAGGAGCAGACCCACAACATCCCTCCTAGCTATGTCCCTACTCCCCTGCTCAGGCCATAGGGACCCAATCTTCAGGAGAGGAAAACAGAGTCCCAAAAGTGGACTCTGGTCCTCAGGCACCTTCAGAAGATGCCAGCCTGTCTTGAGAAAGTTACTGCTCCTCCTCTCCCTTTTTCCTGGAAGCCTTGAGTTGGGTAGGAAATTACATATATGATTTCTATACCTAGCACCTTCTTTGGGGGAGAGCCATAGTCCTGAGAGAGATACCATCTCCTCTGCTGTGGATGTGGATGACCAACAAAATGATGTGACCCAGCTGTCTTTCTTTGCCCTGGGCTCTCAAACTACAAAAGACTTATAGGTCAGTAGGGACAAGTATGGGATGTATCTGTTTGCTGCTTTCCTGTATTCTGAGACCTCATCATGGAGACTTTTCAAAGAAACCACAAATTGTGCAGCTCTAAGGTGCTCATTTCTCTGTCCTTGTATAAATGTGTGTGCTTGTATCCTTGTCGTGTAAATCTACCATCATAGAGCCACACATGGAATTAGAGCTGGCAGGGGAAAGGATGCTGCTGTCTGTGGGTGACCGCTACAGTGAGATTTCTAGTTAACTAGTTCAGTGCCAGAGTTCACTCTTAAATTGTCAGAATTCCCACAACCCAAGCTAGTACCCTTAGGGACACTGAAGTTTTTTCTCATAGCTTCTCCCCTTCTTCTGGTTAATAAGTTCCCAAAGATGGTGATCTTTCCCTCCTTCCACCTCCAGAAGAATGTTGGTGTTTTCTCAGTGGCCTAAGGGGTAAACTTCATTTTCTATGGGTTCTCCAGGAGGAAGGAACCACTGACACCAGTCTCCAAAAACTCTTTCCACGGCAGCTCCGTCCATTTCTACCATGAGATTTTGCTCACTTTGTAGGAAGGTAGTAGAACCCAGTTCTGGAACCAAGGAGGCTACAGTATTGAACCGTGAGGAACATAAGCTTCCAAGAAAGTACCTAGCATGGTGGATGGAGGCTTTCTCAATTTCCTTGTCCCCATCACACTTAACACGGAGTATCATGAGAGACTTGAGTAGGATTTTGCAAATTATTTCCCAGGTCCTTATTCTTCTCCTCACCACCTTGTCCTGGGCATCTTCAATCCCATCTAGGCTGAGTAGTAAAAGGGACTAAGCATGCCTGTTGATGCTGACTTACTGCTTACTGTCTGAGGATCTTGAGCTGATAGAAACAGGTACCTGGTCAGAGAGGAAGCCAGATACTAGTACACAGGCATTATAGCTAGGGTTCTAGCTAGCAAATTCTGTCTTGTAACAGCGTAAGGTTTGTAACAAGCCTTAGGTAGGTAAATAAGTGGCAGGAAATGAGAAGGCAAAGGTCCCAGAATAATCATTCAGAAGTGGGTCAGCCTTGTATATCCCTGGGATCCACCGTCAACAGAAGCACATTAAACCAATTAAGGGAAAGACTGTCATTCTGTTCTCCCTGTAAGGGCATGTCTCCCTCTCCTTTGCAGAAAGGATTTTCTTTAAGTGCCAGGCTTTCCAAGGATCTTCCCAAGCATAGCTGTGGCTCCCAGGAAAGAACACAACTATAAAATGTGTTCAATTACCAATCTAGGGAAAAATGAAAATAAAAATGCACAAGTGTGAGGTGGCTTTCAGGGGATCAGGGGAAGTGACAAAAGAATTAGAATTTGAACCTGGGGAGGCAAATTCTAGCTTCCCCATTATCTGCATATGGAGTTCTTTAGTTCTTTCTTGAGGAGTTTGCCCATGACCCTCTGCTATCTTGGATAAATTTTTCTTCCCAATGTGCCATAAAGAATGTTGTCACACGAGGCTGGCCATGGGACCGGGAGAGGTCCATGGACGCATGATTCAGCTCTTTAGTATTTTAAAGGGAACTGTGAGTATTATACAGTTTGAGAGATTTAAGGACCCGAAGTGAGAAGGTCCAAGATTCCACTTCTGAAGCCACACTTTTACCCCATGTGGCTGTTTCCCCACATCCTTTTTTTTAAGAGACCACAAGGCTAAAGAGTATTCGTATTTGTCCCTCATAAACATGAGCGGTCCAGACAATAGCCCTGAAACTGAATCTCTGAAAGGGACCTTAGCCCAGGAGGGCCCCTTGACTCTTCTCCTCTCTACTGTACCTACTCAGGGCCTTTTTCTGGTCCTACTACCATAGGCTAGCAAACTCCACAGAGCTAACATGTCTACAAGACAGTTATATCCCCCACCCTTTTGTCCCTTTTTCTTGGGAGGTTTCAGAGACTAATGTTGGGTGGGGGGGAGGATTCAACCAGA